AGATAACCTAGAGTTAAACACAAGACATGGGATAGAGCTGAAAACACACACAGACACACACACTCACACACCACACACACACACACACACACACACACAACACCACACACACACACACATATGTCTTCAGGAAGCACAAGCCAAATATACACATGCTTTCTGGGTGGAATCTGCCTTCAGATCCATTTTGGCTTGTTAATTTTGGCAATGGTAGACCAAAGCTTAACTCAAACATAGATGTGACAGGACAGTAAAAACAGCAGTATGGGTAGAGGACCCTGAGAAACCAGATGTCAAGAGAACATTTTTCACTAGCCTACATACGACCACTAACACTGTGTTTTCAACAGAAAGGAAACCCATGACCTGGACTTCACAGGAACTGCCTCATTACTCGACACTTAAAAATGAAAAGCTGAATCATTTCTTTGGTTCTTGCGACCCTCAGATATAAATGGGCACAGAAAAAAGGAGGAAAATCACGAGGAAGAAAATTCACGTATTCGGGTACAGACACATAACTCACATACAGCATGATGGCTCTAAACGCCAATGCAGCAGCTATTATCAGCTATAATCTTCTCATTTTTGCTTCATTCTTCAAACACAGAATTTGCCCATCAATGCATCTACGCACCCATTCATACCAGTATATCCATCCATTTGCACACAAACCTCCACCCCCCTCCCTCCCTGCCATAAACCATGACATGATGGCCCCCCTCCTGCTGTGGCTCATGATCTGACCTCGCATTCTCGGGGCCCACATGGCTCCATGATGCTTACATCCGTTGTGTCGTCTCACACTTATTTCGCCTGTGCAAACAGCCCCTGCAATCTATCCTAACATCAGCTCTCACCCCCAGCCTCCACGTCTCAGTCCCTGGATAGACGGCGAGGTGGCCAAGAGCCCGTAACCATAGAAACCTCTGCCGCTGCTTGCTTACCTGCTCTTGTATGAGCTGAAACAGGGAGCTTCTATCCATATACTGGCCAGGGAGGTGAGAGGAGCCGCCGAGGACAAGGGCATAGGGAGGAGAAAGAGAGGAGTGGTGGTGTTTGTAAGGATGGGATAAGGTGGAGGGGGATGTGGTTGAGGTAGCAGCTGGTGCCTAAATTGTAGCGTCAGGCCCCTTCGTAGCTGCTGCGTCCCCCCCTTGATGATGGAGAAAGCTTGGTGAGCTGTGCCCCTGGTATTGATGCTGGTGGTGTCGCCGGAGTAAGAACCGGTGCTGTGTGGCTCCGTGCTGGTGCTGAGAGTGCGGACAGTGGTGCAAATGGACTGTGACTCTGCTCAGTGCCAGTGCAGCGTGGCGCGGCAGTAAACCCAGCTTCAGCAGACGACAGGCAGGCACGCAGGCAAGGCAGATCCAGCAGCTCTCATTCACTCTCCTCCTCCTCCTCGCTCTCCTCTATCCCATTGCACTGACTGCTACCTCTCTCTCCCTCTCTTCCCTCTCCTCATACACACACTGCGCTGCCTGCATACCAATGAGGCAGGGGAGGGAGGTGGCCTCTCTCTTCCAATCGAAGAAGGAGAAGGAGTGGCCATGGGCTGCGGCTCCTCTCCTCACTACAAGTAAGGCGTCTCAGGGAGGGAGCAGGGGATGGGCTCCACTGCGGCTTTGCACTTACTACTAGCACAGACCCCCCTGCCACTACACCAACCCACACACTGTAAACAACACAAAAGCTACTAATAAGCAATATGGTGAAATGCCAACAATTTGATGATTTTGTTCATTTTAGGGTTACAGAAGACAAAGGTGATGAATGGCAATATAGGCAATATAAAACTCCTAGTCATATTGATGGCGCTGATGGCCCCCAAGAAACCTATAGACTGCTCTGCAACCCTTTACAACTCTGTGCTAATTATAAGCACTGGCATATGAGCACACTGTATGCACTGCTGCACAATCAAGCATGCTCCCACCCTGACACACACATGCACAAACATAAAATTGAATTAAACTGTTTGGATGGCTCCCTGACTTGAGCTCCAGTGAGCTCAAATGAATACCACTACGACAATAACGCAAGGACAGAATCCTTAATATATTATAAGTAATACCCGAACAAAGGCTCTTTTTTATGTTAATCTGATGCATAATAAAGAGACTAGCATGCAGTGCGCAGAGCAAGAGGGTCAGAACATACAAATGATGAAAAGGAACTTCATGTGGGCGGCAGACAGTGGCTGCACTTGATTTTATTGAAATCCCTTTTAAAAGGAGTTTTCTTTCTGCACAAATCCGCAGTGACCCCTCCTCCTTAGGACAATGGCGATGAGGGGGGAGGAAGCAGCAAGAGGACGTAAATCTTAACTCATAAAAAAAAATGTGTCTTAACAGTCTTAAATGACCTGGATCCGATTGTAGCTGAAGCTAAAGTCGTCGTCGGGTCACAACCTCCAACAACGACTCTGGCTTTTGTCGTGGTTGAAGCAGGGGTGTTTCTTGCACTGTCTCCTGTAAGATTTACCACCAACAGTGTAACTCAGCCTCTGGCTTGGTGACAAACAGTGCCTCTGCCTGTTTAAGTACCATAATTGCACCAGATGTTTGGACTTTCTTATAGACGGAATGGCTTATAAATCCTTCTTAATGTGAGAAAGATTTTAAAAATATCTGGACCTACTCATTACAGCAATGTGTCTTGTGCTTTATTGGCTCATACTTAAGCTGCTGACTATATGAAGCCACGGCTAACTGCTGTATTTGTCCTAATGGATTGGGCCTAGGCCACCTTGAACATGGCAGAGCTCCCAGACTTTCCCTTTGTCACCTTCCATTATGCCCATCTGACACACTCTTGTTTAAACAAAACCTTAATAATGACTGTCCAAGTCTATAGCAACGATAGGATTCCCTTCTCTGCGAGGAAGCACTGAAATCACTTCATGGGGTTCTTTGTTCAACTACTAATCAATGTTCAGAATTAATTTGTCTCCAACGCTCTGTAGTTGTGAGCACGAATAAGACAAATCTAATTATAAAGGTCACTGCTGGAGGATGTTAAAACTGCAATAAGTAAGATGGATTGAAAGAACAGCCAAAATGAAACCGGATTCAACTGTTGCCTTGGTAACCTCAAAAGGACTCCCATCAAACAATAGACAAGTACCATGAACTAAAAAAATCCATTGCATTAAGAAAATAAAGCAGAAAACCCTCTCAAGAAGAACCCCCCTGGGTCTAGCATTATGACTGACAGTGTATGTGCTCTATGAATAACATCACCAAAACACAGTCTTGGCTATGTTATAAAGAAAGTCAATATTATATATTTAATCACATATCTATGAAAATGCACAAATGACCTTGATGTATTAAAAATGGCACTAGAGGCAGGTAAACAGCATTCCCAAATATATAAACAAGATGCCAACTGGGCTCACAGCTCCACCAAGGGTCATGCCAGTATCATTGTTTCCATTACCACCAAGTGACATTATCCAGATGACTGACAGAGTGAGATAAGCCTCTAGTGAAATACAGTCTCTGGTGCCTGAAGCGTCCCTAACTGAATGGTCTCTCATGAGCCTGACTAAACCCTTCATGTTCTATTCACCGCTGGTGGATGGATGCAGACGGCAGGATGAACCCAGGGAGCCTGCTCCTTTAACAAGGCCTGAGAGCAGCAGACAAAACACTGGTCTAGCCTCTATGTGAAAGAGTGGGGAGAGAATAACAAGGCCTTTCAGGGAGGCAGAAAGGCGCATTAATTAGACCTCCAGTCTGCACTCTTCCTCCCCAGCTTAATGACCTCGAGGTCCATAAGGCAGGTGTTTATTTACCGGTGTGTGTCTGTGTGGACAGTTGCTTCTGTCTGTGAAACGAATGGTAAGAGGGAGCTATAAATGCATGCCTTACAGGCCTGAAATCAGTGAGTCTTAATTATACACAGGCTATGCCAGGGTTTTAAGCATGAGGGGCGCATGCACACTGATTTATAAAGCAGTCGTTCTGTGTGTGCATGCAAACTGTAGGGATTTGTCTATGTGCGCAATGAGCTCGTCCAACGTTACAGTCTCAGGAAGGGTTGCACCAACCAGGAGAAATTCAGCTCGCTGCTCAGTCTACACTTGTAGATGTCAACAAAATAAGGCTCTGTGGTGTATTCAATTTAGACTGTTATTGCAATGTCAATTTCAGCACTGACAAAAGAGTGCACAAGGCTGCAATATCACAACATCAGGGAGTTATAAAACTGGTAACTGTCACATGTCTTCTTCAAAGAAATTCTCGAAAAATTTAATCTGGCAACCTTAATTAAATTAAATCATGTCACAGTTTCCAGCGTTTCCTTTTTCATTGATTCTTTTCAGATCAGACACTGTACTATTAAATGCATAAATTGTTGTTATATTTGTCTTTATATAATAACAGATAACAATAAGTTTGAAGTGATTACCCAGCAAACATACATTATATACAATACAGCTAGCAGAGGTCCTCGTGTGTTCAATTAAGAGGTATTCCTGAAGAGCGGGGTGTTTATGTTTTTTTGTGATACTGGTGTTGTTCAGGATGAATTTCCTTTTGTATTTCATTGCCCCATGTAGAGCTACCTAGTTGAAAACATTCAATTCAGAATACTGATTTGTTCTGGTCGTCTAAAGGTGATAGGTTGTGTTGTCTTTTAATGAGAGGGTTTATTTGGCTTATTTTTGGATTTATGGACAAAGACAAAAAGGAAATGTAGAAGATCTTTAGAAATGTTTTCTTTTTGGATTTGTGGAACTGATATGATCTGTCATGTGATCATCTAAGTTGTTTTTGCTGTCTAGTGTCTTTGTAAGCACCATTTTGTGCAAAATATTTAACTAAACCAATCAATCAAACAATTCCTTATGCAGTAAGACATAAATGGATTGGCATACTGCTACTAGAAACTATACATGGTGAGCTTTTGTTTACCATATGTGAAGCTTATATTCAGCTAGATTCTCCCTTCTGAGGCCAGAAGTTGTGCTGGAGAAAGCAAGAAGAAATTACCTGATGAAATCTTAATCTTGCTATGTTAAACTTGTTTTCGGGGTGGACCAACAGCAAACAGCCACACTGGTTTCTCAGGATGTTTCTGTGTGGACATCGAAGTGAGGTGGAGCACTGGGAAATACTTCTGCCGTCCTCTACCCTGAAGCAGGAAGAGAGAATGAAAAGATTTAAGTTTAAACAGCTAAAAGAAAAGAGAGAAACTACAGGAGAAGAGCTATACATCCGAAAGCTCAACAGAAGAAGGAATGAAAGTTCAACCACATGATATCGCTCATAAATGCTGAGAAATATACTTAACACTGTTGTCGTTGTGCAGGTTTTACAGCCTTACAGTGCTGCTTGTTTGTTCTATTAGCTGACCTAATCTTTTATAAATTAAGAAGACAAGTTGTTCGGCGGGATTTCTGGAACCTGTTAGGCTCGACTAGTTGTGTAAATGAAAATAGATGGTGCTTCACACTTGAGCCGCAGAATGTCAAGCAGCAGTGATTGTGCAATAGAGGGAATCACCCGCATGATGAAAAACGGCAGAAAAATGAATCAGGTCACTGAATGACACAGTTTTAGTCCTAACTGCTCCACTTAGAAGATCTCACAGGGACATAAAACAGAAGAAGCAAGGAATGGGAAGGAGAGTTAGAGGGAGGAGATTGAAAAGGGGAGAGAATTAAAAAGGAGAACAGAAGAGTGAAAAGAATGAATGTTTTATTTTTTTTATTAGAATTTCTGTGCCATGATTTGAATTCATAGGGGAGACCCATTTTCAGCCCCATCTCTGAAATATTCACGTCTCATATGGGGACAGGGGCGCCTCCCAAACATCAGTCGCTATTTTTGACATTATCGTGTCACAGTGCCACTTCTAGTTGGAGTTGAGCACAGGCTTCCCGAGCAGTTCCTTGTGATATGTTTGGGAGTCACGGTAATAAGGCTTAAGTGTGGAGAGACCTCTGGTGTCTAAACCTGCAGTTGCATCCTAAACCGAGGGCAGCCCTGTTGGCTGACAAACCACAGAGTATTCAAAGAGTGCTGTCAAACCAATTACAAGGTCCCAGCTGAGTTAAATGGAAATAAACAGAGCTCATTAGCCTTGGACTTTGATTTACACCATGTTTTACTCCATATATTAACAACATAACTTAGTGTTTTAAGGCTGACATTTATTGTATTGTTCATACTTTTACTACTGTATAATATGATGCAAACATAACTGTTTGAGGTAAATATATGTGCTCAGTTTGTGTGGTGCTAAACACATTTAAGCCTAGACTAAGCTTATATCAAATGCAAATAACACAATGAATTACTTGTATTTAAGCTTCTACTGCCCTCTGTTGGTAAAAGCAGCTTTGATCAGAAGTCACCAGCGAGTGGAGCAAAATACTTCTCCCTGCTCTTAAATATTTGGCAAATGTGCATAAAGGTAAACTGAGAACATTGGAACTAACTCAACTCGTATTTTTAGTGTAAAGATTGAACATAGTAACAGAACACAAAGTTAAAAAAAAGTAAAGCCTGTTCGTGAAATTGGAATTTATTACTTTGGCCTGAATTCAAACAACGAAAGTTTTACAGTTCCAATTTTAAAAAATAATTATCTTTATACTGAATTCTACATATAATAGATGGCTCTGGTTTAGTGGCAGCCTGTTGTGGCTGCTTGTGTTACTGTACTCTGCCTAAGTCTCCAAGTATTAAAGGGGCAAGGGTTAAAGTCAGGATTAGGGCTAAATGTAGCATTCTTGAACTGCAATCTATTAGTGTCAAATCAGATGTGATGCCTTGTGGTCAATGTCACATGTGTGACTGTGTTACAGCATCAGAAAGGTCGATTTACAACTGCTTTTTTTAACATTAATACGTACAGAATAAGTGATTATCTTTCAGTGGAGCACCTCTTTTTAGACCCCCCCACTGTTAACTGGAGGACCAAAATGCTGTGTCATCTTTCAGCGTGAGAGACAATGACTTCTGTTAGAGTAATCTCTGTTGGTTTGACGGACAGCCAACAGGTGCTCCGACAGGCTGCGTCCAGTGACGAGCCTGTCATGTGAGAGGGGGGTCTGACAGCTGACATTGTGGGAATAGTTACCTGCTCTACACACTGAGATGAGGGAGGGTGTGTTTTGTGGTGGAAATGGTAAGACATTCACAAAGAGCGCCTTGGTGCGGGTCCAACTGATGGGCCTCTATCAGCTCGGCTGTGCAGCAGTCCGCACAGCACTTGGCCATTGACACCTGCTCACACATTCAAGTGTTGTCACAACTGTCAAACCCCGAACACACACACACACACTACCTCTTACAGAGCACACACACACTCCAGCTGGCCTGAGGACAAGTGTGTTAAAACCACTACTGTGTCAATGCCTTGTTCTCACTTTCCGTTGTCTCAACATGGCACGTTGTTAGTCTAGAACAGGTCTAATCACCAAGATGTAAACTGTTTCATCTGTGGCAGCGTAATGGGTAGCTGAACTAAGTGATGCCCAGCTCAAGGGCACAACTGGCACTTTAAAACTGTACATGGGCATGTTGGTGATATATGCATGGAATTTGTGAGATGAACTGGTCAAAGACAAATCCTTTTCGTGTATTTCGCCCTTTTTATTGTGTTAATAAACTACTATAAAATACACTTGTGTTTCTGTATTTTGGTTTTGTTTTAGAGAGGAACTAATGTTACACCAGTGTCACTTTCAAATGATGCCATCATATCACCCAGTTTATGTAAAGTTTACACATTTGGTGTATTTTATGGAGATAACGCTAGTTGCTCAAACTAAATTTATATATATTAAAAAAAGTTATTTAAATAACTGTAATAATCCTCTGAGACTGTAACTGTGAGTAACAGCTACACAAACAAATCTGTCTTCTGCTAAATATCATTACTGAAAGAGAGTCCACATAATTTCTACATCTTCATTTACAAATGAATTAAATCAGATTTTAATAAAACAATGTTACTTGATATTACTTTACGATAAATCAATGGGATTTTCCCTCCGCATATTTTCACATGTAGGACTACACTTGAAATTACTAAAATTTCTTCTGTTGTTAAAAACAAAGAAAACATTTGTTTTACATACACATAATCTTGAAACAATCCTGCTCACAATCCCAATCTTAAACCTAGAGATGAAATCAAACTGATGTGTTATTGTAGTCAGTGTTTTGCAGATTTGTTATTGACTAGCTGAGTGATTGTGGAGCTGTTTCTGTGCTTGTTTTGGATACCTACTAACATATCTGATGAGCAAACACATTTGAGGATTGGTAGTAAGTGTATTCATTCTGCCTATTACTAATTCATATTAATCAACTAATGCATTTTACTTAAAAAGTGCTCTAGCGCTAATCTTCTGGGACTTTAATTTAATGACTACAATGTGGATTACAAAGAATTAACCGGATATTCTTACAAAACATGTGTTTAGAATCAATAAAATTGTTTGTGAGATGTAATTTTAAAAGTGTAAAGAAACCCAGAGGATTCATAGCAGAAAAATAATTGATCTAATCTAAAACCTAAAAAGTCTCCAGACCTTCTTTTCTTGCCACCTGGGTAAACGTAAAAAGATCTGATTAAATTTAACCTTATCGGACTTTTGAAGCCAGAGTAAACGGCTACACAGTCAAAGCAACGCAGAAAGAATGCTTTTAACGGAGCACAATGTGATCATGTGCCGGACAGTTTTGGACCTTTTGACAGCTGATCCACAGCCCTGATATGGAGCACACTGAGGACCTCAGTAGTCAAATGGTGGGTGATGTTACCCACAATGCTTTGGGCCAGAGACAGGATGAGACTTGAGAGGGTTTTAGGCAGCTAAAATTACAAACTGGCATCAGATAAATTTAGAGACGCAATGCTTAAACACTCCTGACCCGATGGTGTGGCTTTCTTCTGTAAATTCATGTGTAATATACCTCCCACTCGACTCTCTACAACTTCTGACAAATAAACCAGCACTGTGATCAGCATTGTGTAAGCTGAATGCATCTGCACCTCAGACATTGGCAAAGATTAAACTGGGAGTCTAGATTTCAGTGTGTGGGCAGCAGAAGTGAATGACTGTGTGTAGACCAAAAAGAGCATGAGGAATATCACACTTATACCAACACTACTCCAATAACTCAATAAATAAAGTGCAGTTTACTCTTTTTAAACCATTATTTTCATTATTGCTTATCATTTTATTGATTAATCACTTGGTCTAAACATGATAAAATTGTGAAAAAATGTCCATTGTAATTTCCCAGAGCCTAATCTGATGTCATCACATTTTTGTTTTTGTTTTTTTTGTCCAAATCCAAAGATATTAAATTAACTTTAATGTAAGTCAAGGAAAAGCAGCAAATCCTCACCTTTGAGTAGCTGGAATCATCAGATGTTTGGTATTTCTGCTTGAAAAAAACCCCACTTAAAATCATAACAAATGATCAAAATAGTTGCCAATTAATTCTTTGTTCGTCAACTAACTGATTAATCAACTAATCGTTTGAGCTCCGCCCGCACCACAAACACACCAATCATCGACAAAAACAAACACAGCAGGGTACAATTCTGGCAGGGACAATTCAACACCAATCATTGGGTGACTATAAATCACGCCCAGTTATCAGTCGCCTATGACCCGGAGGGGGGGACTGCAAGCGGCTTAATAAAATGCCCCGTTCATTTAGTAAAATCTCATTATAGTGATAATTACTTTGAGGTGGTGCGTTTGAGTGTTGGTGCTCGGGAGGTCCAGTCAGTGTTGAGGACGTCCCTCTGTCGGCGGATGATGGGAGTGGTCTAACCGGGGGAGAAGTCTCTGTTTGGCTGCTGCTTTTTCACCACCGCTTCCTAAACGGGGCACAAGACAATAACACATCACTCCGGACAATCGGTGACAAAAACAACGGGCCCAATAACCTGAATGTAACCCCCAAGCAACACACACACACACACACACACACAGAGAAAAATACCAAAACAATCCGCTATTCCTGCTACACATGGCCCCGAATAGGAGTGACAAACAATAGGCATATTTATAGGCTCTATAATATCCACAGAGCCATCACAGTGTTATTTATACAGTCTCCATATGAGCATCGCACAGCATTAATTATCTCCCGCCCCCTCCTTTACTCATGCGCCATACACATATTTTATTCACTCATTCATTCAAGCTCTCCTTACTCGCTCCATTCACCCTGTCACCTCCCCCCTCCCTCTCCCTCTTTTATGCACTTGTGCTATACAGTAGAACTCACCCTTTCATCTGCTCCCTCCCTCTTTAGTTCAGCTGTGCCACATGAAAAAAAAAAATCACTCCTTCACTCTACCCCCCCC